TGGGTTTGGCCATCATCACTGAATTTCTGAGACACGAAACACTTTTTTCGGCTCGTCTTATTACGCACCCAACACCTGTTTACTTAAAGTGGATGTAATTTAATTATTAGGTCATAGAGAAAGAGATAACAAATTTAATTTTCTTTACGTTTTTAATAACTACAACAAAGAATAAATTTGACTTTTCTTGGACTGTTTTCTTTTCTTGGACTGTTCTTATTCTGTTCTGAAAGTCACCTGCGAACAAAAGCAGAGTACGAGATTTCAATTCTGAATCAAATCCCCAAACTTACGGTAATAATCGTTCAGGACAAACCCCATGAAGTCGGCACCGTTCGTGCCTTGGTTTCAAGTACCCCATTGTGTTCTCATCCCTAATCGCTTCTGTACCTCGTTGAAATGGTGCTGGCCACCACGTGTTTCTTTTTGTAAATCACTAGTTTAAAGCGAATGCTATGGAAGTACTACTTAAAACCTAACGACTTAGTACTATTGGAAAATCAAAGGGGTTAAACCACCATGCTGAAAAACCAGAAAAAACAAACAAACAAACAACAAATGAACATGATCGATCTAAAAACAAAAATATCAAAACAAAACTATTGGAGCTAAAGAGAAAAAAACCCAAAACTTCCAAATGCAATGAAACTGAAAATTTGGAATTAAGATTGATTTTTTGTATCATGCGAACACTTCTTACCGTTCCACTATCACTGAGATCGAGATTTATACAATGCAAACACATCTTACCGTTCCACTATCATCGCTGTCATCTTGAATGCCATATGCCACTCCCTAAATGTGGCAGCATGTATTTAGAATATGCTGAACACATTTAAAAATAATATGAAAAACAATGATAACATAAAAAAAAATTAAATCTCTGTAAAATGAAGTGTCTATAATTCTCTCCAGAGTCATAGACAATTATACTTACTTCATCAAAATTTGTTGCGGGTCCTGCCGGCGGCTGTTGGAATATAAGCATAATGAGAGATATGATGGTCACGTTGACGCCAATGAATTAACTAATTCAAGTAAAACTATCTAGGAGGTCCAATGTTTTCCTGATCAAAGGTGTACTTAAATGTTTGTAATTCCATCAATTTAACCATCAGTTTTTAAAAGATATAAATACACCTAACCTCATTGCGGGTCAGCGCCTGGATTCTTTTTTGACGAACCTAGGATTTAATATTGTTCAAAGTTAACAGCCGTCCTCTCCAGCAAGCTCCAAGGAAAGACAGTCCTTTTCCCCTCAGCTTCACGTGTGAAGTAAAACTAAACTTTCGTTGTATTTTTGCCCGACGTAAGCAAAGTTCAAAAGTACTATTAAATCAATTTAGTCGTGTAATTTTAGCTAGGCTCTAAAAGGTCCAGACTGTTGAATTAAGGGTTTAGTTATGACTTTACATTCCCCTTACTGTGATCAATTTGCCATATCAACTCTGTTGATAGAACCAGATGATCAAGATTCAATAGGCAAGGAATTGGTAGATTATATCTACTCTCTATTATTTAGCAACTGGCAGGGCGTGAAATTAACTTTTTTTTCTGATAGCCACTTGGCTCCTAAATTCTTCAAAGTGGTAGCCAATTCAAAAAAAGTTGGTCGCCATTTTCAAAGACAAATAAAATCTTTCTTTACGCTGTCAGCGTGCTAGATAGACCCTCAAAAATTAACGTGCTACAAAGTGGACACTAGGATGGATGATATACAACGTTCAGGCTCATCTAAATCCAAGATGGCGTCTAGTTATCCATCGAGATGCATGTGCTACGTTTTGGAAACAAACTTAACGAGGAAGTTTTCCGCCGATTTATCTTTGCAAATCTTTTTAATTCACTATATCTCTTGGTAAGGTTATGATGAAACGTTCTAGTCGCCAATTTGGCGACTAACTTTCAGGATTTGGTCGCCAAAGTGAAAAATTTAGGCGCATTGGCGCCTGTATTAGGCGCAATTTCACGCCCTGAACTGGTCGTGCATCATTCAAAGCCAATGTTTATCATATATAGAAAAGGTATTTTAGATCAATACAGGGTATGCACCTGACATAGAAAGTGTCCAAAGTGGCTGTGAATATTAGTGCAAAAGTAATTACCCATTCGCTGTCTGGTTCGGTGACATCAAGGTCTCCTTCTTCCTCCTCTGCCTATGAACATTTTTTTGTAAGAATTATGTTTTCATCTATGGTTGGCTTGCAATAGATCTAAGTGTTTCAGTTGCCTAGCCTTGAAATGTTTAGTAAGGGAAATTTTATGCAGAGCTATTTTTCTACCGTTACGCTTAGAAAAAGTTGTCACTGGAATTCTAATCTCAAATTTATTTAAATCAGCGATCATTATAAGCATTCTGCAGGGTATTTTCAGAACTTTGCTTTCATAACCTTCGTTTGCGGTATCATATCAAATTGGCGATGCAAATTACACTTATTGCCGCTGTTTTCATGCGAAAACACAAACGATTAAGACTCTTCAAATCTACCAAGTACCTGCTCTTATCCACTTACCTCATGCTCACGTTGTTTTCCTTTCTCTGCGGCCTCCTATCGATACAGATATCCACAGTAAGCGTAAGTCAAAGGTTTACATAACACTTATTCTTAAGCGAAAAACAAGTGATCTTTATTGTGTAAAAATTAAAAATTCCAAATGACGGAGTGCGTTTAATTGAAAAGTAATTATGTAATTATCGTAGTTAGATCCCGGGGGAAATTATTAACAACGTTAATGACTATTGAAAGCGCCGAAAAGGAATGCAAGCTGTTATCTCATACCACCAAACACTCCAAAGATTTTGCTATCATCATAAAGAGTGGACTTTCAGTCGATATGTTAAGTATGGGGCGCGCTTGTCGATTCTATTATCAATTTTTAAACCAGAACATTACAGCATCCTCATATACACCAGGGATATCCCGACACTTTACAAAGCACGAGCTCTCAATAATTTTTTTAAAAATGTATGAGCTTTCAAATGTCTTAAAACACGCAATGTATCAATTGTCTTACAAAGCACGCTGTCTTAAATGACTTGAAAAGCACGTTGTCTCAAATGTCTTAAAAAGCACGATGTCTTAAACGTCGTAAAATGCACGATGTGCTATATGTCTTATAAAGCACGATGTGACAAATGTCTTATAAAGCACGATGTCTCGAATGTCATAAAAAGCACGATGTGTCAAAGGTTTTAAGAAGCACGATGTGTCAAAGGTCTCAAAAAGCACGATGTCTTAAATGAGCTAAAAAGCAAGATGACTCAAGTGTCTTGAAAAGCACGATGTCTCAAATGTCTTAAAAAGCACGATGTCTCAAACGTCGTAAAATGCACGATGTGCTATGTCTTATAAAGCACGATGTGACAAATGTTTTATAAAGCACGATGTCTCAAATGTCTTAAAAATCACATCTCAAGTTTCTTAAAAAGCACGATGTCTCGAATGTCATAAAAAGCACGATGTGTCAAAGGTCTTAAAAAGCACGATGTGTCAAAGGTCTCAAAAAGCACCATGTCTTAAATGAGCTAAAAAGCACGATGACTCAAGTGTCTTAAAAAGCACGATGTCCCAGAAGTCGTAAAATGCACGATGTCCCAGAAGTTTTAAAATCCACGATGTCTCAAAGGTCTTAAAAAGCACGAGGTCTCATATGTCTTATAAAGCACGAGGTCTCAAATGTATTATAAAGCACGATGTCTTATATGTCTTATAAAGTGCGATGTCTCAAATGTCTTATAAAGCACGATGTCTCAAATGTCTCCTAAAGCACGATGTCTCAAATGTCTTATAAAGCACGATGTCTCATATGTCTTATAAAGCACGATGTCTTATATGTCTTATAAAGCACGATGTCTTAAATGTATTATAAAGCACGATGAGTCAAAGGTCTTATAAAGCACGAGGTCTCATATGTATTATAAAGCACGAGGTCTCATATGTCTTATAAAGCACGAGGTCTCAAATGTATTATGAAGCACGATGTCTCAAAGGTCTTATATGTCTTATATAGCACGAGGTCTCAAATGTATTATAAAGCACGAGGTCTCATATGTCTTATAAAGCACGATGTCTCAGTTCTTTTTATCATGAGTTGAATTCTTTTAGCAGATTGTTCAAACTCAGCAGCATTCTTCTAACAGACACTGATAGGGACTTATACAAAACGACGGCAGCGAGAACGAGAACACCAAAAGAAAGGTAATAATAACGAGATCCTTCGGAAGGCACTTTAACACTACCAAGTACCTCATCGGATCGGTTAAAAGTCTTGCTCACGCTATATGAATAATTGACAAAGGTAACAACTGCTACAAAGACACGAAAAAGTAAGCTAGGCAAAAAAAAAAAATAAAAAATATAAAATTTCGTTATAACTTGTAATTCTGTTCGCAATTAATTAATCATTGTGTTCGTTTCTGGAAGGCGCTACACCCAACAATGAGTCAGAACTCCTTAGGGAATAGACCGGTAGATTGATGAATCAAATTGTACACGAAGCTATTGCGATATTTTCGTAGTTATTGTCACCCCTAAAGCCGGATTGAATCACGTAAAAAATTGGTTTTGTTGCTGCATTTAACTACACTTACTCTTATATTTATATATATATATATATATATATATATATATATATATATATATATATATATATATATATATATATATATATATATATATATATATATATATATATATATGTATGTATATATATATATGTGAAGAAAGACAAAACGACAAAAAACATACTGTTTCCACTAAGATGCTCCTTAGAGTCACACTCGATCTTGTTCTTTCCACTCTTCACCTTATCTGGGGCTGTGATGGCTAACAGAACTGGCTTGCTCGCTAGCTTTCGAACAGAATATTTTTCTTGAATGGCTTTCTTCTGCTTTTCCAGCCACCTGTCGATGTAGTTCTGGTCTGTTCCCTCGGATGGGATGGCTTGGAAATCGGTCCTAATTTCTGGTATAACCGCGTAGAAGCCTCGGCAAAGGGTCTTCATATCGTTGCTTGTGCCTTCATAACTTTGTAGTACATATTCTTGCCGTCGTCTATGCTTTTCTCAGCTTTTCCTTCAAACTCTTTTAACTCCTGTTCCATTACGGAGAAGAAAGCGGCTGCTCTGGAGATACCACTTATAAAGCCCTTCAAGGCAGGGATCAGGGTGTTGCTGACTGCGGCTGCAACTTCTTGAATTTGTGCTTCGCAGCCTTTAGCAACTGATTCAGCCAAATCTTCTTCAGCAGCAGCCAACGACAGAGGGCTTACCATCATGTTTACAATCGGTACAAAGGCAAGTCCAACCGCCCAGGAGCGTTCTGAACCTGCCTTTTCTTCTAACTCTTTCCTCTTCCTTTCAAACTCCCTTTGTAGGTGTTTCAATTCTTTTATAATTAAGCGGGTCTGGTATTCTCTCTCTTTGAGTGGTACCAAGATGTCTTCGTGCATCTGCAGTAGCGCTTGGCACAGCTCCCTGTAGCCAATGGTCTCTTCGAGGATGTCAGAAAGCATGTAAAGCCATTCTTCGTACTCCAGGGCTTCATAACACTCAAAGTACTCGTTGATAGATGAAACCAGTTTGGTCGAAAGCGGAAGGACACCTCTTAGGTTCACCATTGCGTCGCTTCTGGTTTTGTCTCGGAGTTCCCTAAACTTCTAGCGCCTTCGGTACTGGTGCCACAGCCTGAGTTGAATAAGGGGCTCTCATGCAAAGAGAAAAAATTCGCATGTCGACTGGCATGCTCTGTAATTGATCTCGAAGGTCTTGAACGGACTTCTTTGCTTGCTTTTCGATGTCACTCATCCTTCTGCTGAAACGAAGCAATGATAATCAAAAGGTTTTCTTTTTAATTGCCCCATGGTTTGAGTGTGTACCCACGTTACGTGGGTCGTTAAGCATTCATATATTTATGCCATTGTTTAGTTCTCGCCGGATTTCACTCGGAAATGTAAGACCGCTATAGAAATCGGACCGCCCTTTTATGACGTGTGACAATTTTCTTCTGTTTATCGTCCAAAAAGGAACGAAGTTTGGAGTTCATTGACAAAAACGGCTCGCAAGCGCACCCGTCTCACAAATACTTCCTCCAGAAATTTCTTTTAAAGGCTTCTGATGAATTTCAGATTCGTATAAATGTGTTAAGAGCTCTCAGATTTGAAGCTACATATTTTCTTAGATCGGACTTTTGCAAATTTCGATTGTGATCTGGCACACACTTATCGGAATGACTTGCAAAGACGCTTCATATGCTTCAAATACTTGAATTCATAAAATGTTTGCAGTTATTCTCTGTAATTTATGTTTCTCACGCACCGGTAAAAGATGGCTGTGCATAAATTACAACGCCAATAACAAGAAGTAAATTACGAACTTTGGCCTAAAATCATCAAATATGCTCGTTATAAGTCTCTTTAAAAAGCTCTGAAAATGCTCTAGTTTAATAAATACAAATCTAACTTGAAAACATTGAGAAAAAACTTGAAGGCATAAAATGTTTGCAATCATTCTTTGGAGTGCACTGACACGTCATAAAAAAAAGGGTACACTTGCAGACGCTGCCGCTCGAGGTCGCTTAATTCCTTTAAGCCTTCCTTCAAAAGATCTCACCTTTTCCAGAACGAATGAATCCGAACTTAGTCATTACGCTTTCAGCGGTTCTACGTGTAGCCAAAGGAATAAATCGAGCCTTCAATGCACAAAATCCAGCTGTAACACCCATTCCTGAATGACACACTTAAATCGACGTGAAGTCGTAATGCATTTTAATAAAAGATCAATTGCTTTAAAACAGCCATACAATAGGCTTTAAAAATAATGTAAAAAGGAGCAGTACGCCTGTAGGCCGCGGTTTTTGTCACAGGCCGGCGACTGAGATCAGTTGTTCGATAACAGTTACACTTATTTAATCGCCATGATTAATGGCATAATATCTTTCACACCACTATCAAAATATAAATACTTCTTCCCCCCATTAAAGAGTTGTCCTCAACAGGGGAAAAGCGACCTTTTATCTCATAAAATGTTTTAGTTTCGTTCACAGGTTTCCTCGCTTCGATAAAGGTAAGATACCCTGAGGAAAATCTCATCTGGGCAGGTTAATTCCATGACAAACGATTCAATTAGTAGCGCCATTTAAGTTAACCTTCGTTTTGCCAGGATTTTTTGAAAAATATCTTGAGTTTGATCACAGCTTTTCCTTCCCGATCTGATGTATGGAAATATTTATCGAAATTCTGCTCTAGGCGCACCAAGAAAGTATAGTAGCAGTCGGCCCTTGCCACAGAGCTTAGACTTCCAACCGACTTGAATTTAAGAATTTTCACACCAACCTAAATAGAGGCAAGTATACTTAGAATAAAGACAACATTTTAGTCTTTGTAAAAAGCCATTCAATTTTTGTCGATGTTTCCTTCAACTACGATTGTGAGTCTTTAGGACTCGTTTTCTTACAAAGGCTGCTTTTTGTTTCCTATCTTAGAGTTCTTTGATTTGGAGGTGAACTTAACTCATCAGCTTTAATCATTAACAAAAGAACAGACTGAACTAGGAACAAGTAAGTAATCGAAGTAAGTATCGGAACGACGTAAAATACGTAAAATATGGTAACAGGCCCATCTGTATTCACTAAAACTGATGCCACCTACAATCGCGGATGAATGAATCAGGATGACTATTTTCGTTTTCTAGAATAAACCAAGCTCACGGCGACGGAACCAGAAGCCAAAGTGCACATAGAAACACCAAAAAAGTAACATATGAGAATATATAAGGTTGGATCAATTCCGTGAAACCATTCAAAAGAATTTTCAAATCGTTTTTTCCTTCGGTTTTTTTTTCTTTTGTAAGAAGATCAATAGGAATTAATTTGTGCCGATGCCACTCGTGGTTAAGTTGAAGGCAAATCCTACAGCAAAAGTGACAAGAAACAAACCTGAGACCATTGCACTCGTAAATGCAATAATTTTTCAGAAGCAAGAGGAAAAAAACGAAAGTATTTCCTTGTGGAAAAATTCAGTTAATAGCATTGAGCTTAATTGTTTCGCATATTCTTTTACATCTGCTAAGTTTTGTATGGAGCACCTCGCTTGATGTCTTACTTTGGTATCGATAGGGAGAGGTATACTCATTTTTATTGCATCGCTCGGCGATGTGTTTGAGCCATTAGAGGCTACAAAAGGCTCTATTGATTCAAATAACGAGCAGTCGTTGTGAAGTGCCTTGCGTGTAAGGCCAGGTTACTAAATAACTTTGAAACGGGAGGTGTCTAATAGATTTTAAGCACATTTGAAGGCCATTTACTAAACGTTAAGCAACTCTTATAAATATATTTGGAGTATATGCCACCGAGTAAGACAAAATCAACAACCCATAGTGAGTCTTTCTTCGCGTGACCAATGCGGTCCTTTTTAGGCTGGTTTTGCGAAGAAAGACGGTTATTTAGCGACGATTTTGGGAGCGCACACTTCGCAATCCCGAAGCGACGTAGTTCTGGTCTGTTCCCTGGGTTTGAATGGTAAGGAAATCGGTCCAGACTTATGGTAGAATCACGTAGAAGCCTTGGCAGAGGGTTTTTGCCTTCATAAATGTATGGTATGATAAGAACTGTAGTTCTTCGCTGTCGCTCTTGCTTTTCTCAGCTTTTCCTTTCCACTTTTTCAGTTTCAGCTCCATTACGGGAAGGAACCCGGCTGCTTTTGAGATACGTAAACCATCAATGAAGTTCTTCGAATTCAAGTAGGGATCATGGTGTAGCTGACTGTGACTGCGGCAACTTCTTGAACTTTCGCTTTGTGGCCTTTAGCAATTGCATCTACCAAATCTAATTCAGCAGCAGCACACAATTCAAGGGTTGTTACCAAGTTAATAAATGGTATAAAGGCAAGTCATATCACCCAGACGCATTTTTTACCTGCCTTAATTATCTTGTAGCTTTTCTTTTTTTCTCCTCAAATTCAAATTTCTCTGGAAGGTGTCTCAACTCTTTTGCGCGGGCTTGGTCTTCTTGCTCTTCTCTTCTCTCCCTTTGGTGGCACCAAAATTTATCAGTGCATTTTCAATGCCGTTGGACACAGCTCCTTGTAGCTAATGGTTTCTTCAAGGATGTCAGGAATCCGCCCACGAAATTCTTTGTACTCCAGAACTTCATAATACTCAAAATTACTCGCTGTTACATGCAAAGCAATTCGGTCGAAAGCGGCAAGATACTTTTTTTAGGTATACAACTTTTGAACAAGTGTTGTTCAAGTTTGCACGCTTCTTGTTTAAACTTACACGTTCCGGCCACATTTTGTCATCGCCCACTCACTCTTAGGAAATCTGTTGTGTCGACGAACATGATTATACGTCTCACCAACACAATCAACTGCCAAACAAGATCACTAAAGATTTAAAAACAGGTGCCATAAGCTCGTTTAGTCGGCGTGCTATTTTCGCTAAGATCAAAATTGTTTAAAAAAAAGCAAACTTCGCCCGCTGGGATATTAACCTAGCGACTCGTGCCCAATGTTAGGCGAGAGAGAAATCTCAAATCAAACGTCATCCTCCTTAACTATGTTTAAGTTATATAAAATGATTCTATTGATAATTGTGTGCAAAGGTCGAGTTTTCTTTAATTCATAAAATAGATCTTTTTTGAAATGAAGATCTGGATCAAATTTTTCCTTGGGAAAAGGTAAAACTCGTTATGAGAAAGTATACGGTTCGACTCGCACGTGCCAAAAATTGCACGTCAGTATGATGGGGTTAGATACATAAATTTAAAATTAAATTTTCTCAGCTGAAGAGACGCTCGACAATTTGACCTTTTTTAAAATTTGCAAAGAAAATGTACCTATGTGGGTACTTGTATGTCGATATCCTAAGTAATGGTTTGTCTTTCAGCCACCAATTTGAAAAAAGTTCATAATCCGTTAGAAAAATTATCCTGCTACAATACTCCTCAAACTTGTTGGTTAAAAGTTCGGGCCAATTCATTTGCTGAGTAACGCAAGTTACCCTGGTGGTGTCATGATCATTACTGCTTTAGAACTGAAAATTTATGACACATGCAGGGATGCATATTATTCTCTGAATGAATTGACTTAATCCCATCTTGCGAGGTTATCAATACTTTGATTTCAAGAAACGGGCGCCTCGTTGATGGATTTCCAGTGATTTAGATCGGAACGCGCGAGCAGGAAGTTTCTCTTTGCTGTCTGTTCTCTTACGCGCGTGTTACGCGCATTTTCGAGAGCCCGACAGGAAGGTTTTCAATGAATTTCTTGGGAGGGGCTCGACCAGGATATGATAAAACTTTGTACATTGAATTTCAGAGCTCATTCTTTTCTATTGAAATAATTAACGACTTGAAGATGTTGTTTTTCCAATACGGCAAACATGTTGACAAGTTTTCACCCGGACACAGTTAAACCTAGTTAATCCTTTCAACCAGAAAGGAGCTCAAAGTTAATTTACCTGGAAAAAATGTAACTGAGTCAACTTTTAATAACAGATCTTTTTTTCCTCTTTGGTTGACCCACTGACGTTCGTTGGCAAGGTCTCTATTGCTCGATTCTAAGCCTGAATTCCCCGGGGTAAAGAAAATTCTGACGCATTCTGTGGAACATCTGTGAAGTCTTTATTAAAACTTAATCAATTACAAACCTTTGCACAATCACTCACTTTTGATTACAGTTGACACCACATGATAATGTGTGTCCTGAACTTATTTGATTATAAGATTAAAATAATAACGCTCCTATAAAAAGTTATGAATAATGATTTAATATAGACTTAATATAAAAAACCTGTCAATTTTAAAAAACATAGCAGAAATAAAACTTCAATCTCGGAGTTCTATCATGAGTTGAATTCTTATAGCAGATTGTTACAACTCCGTAGAACTCCTCTTCCAGTCGCTAATGGGGACTTATACAAAACGACGGCAGCGAGAACGAGAACAAGGTGAAACAAAACTTGTAACGGGCAGAACAACTGCTCTGCACATGCGTTCTAAAACTTTGTAGATTTCCTCCCCGTTCTAAGAAACGATGTGAAACTACACAATTTTTAAAAAATTATTTGCAGTCTGAGCTGCAAAGCCAAATCAACACGTTTCCAGCCCGAACTTAACACTTCATTTACATGTCATCCACGAGGAGGTCTAACGCCGGTAGAGACGGTTAACACATCGAGGTACTGGCAAAATGCTGAAGATAGACATCTGTTTTTTAATCACCTCCTTCATAGGCCTCGCTGCCGTGATATCCCAACTCCTCCATAGTTCCTTACAGGACTGTGCATTAATAAGCTCTCTACTGATTTATTTCCGTGAAAAGTAATGACTGAAATATTTAATTCAAAGCTCTGCATTCTTGCTCTACTAAGTCTCTACGTCAGTTAGAGCTCTTTTTAATGGGTGATCAGACGAAACCCAAAAGAAAAGTACTAATAACGAGATCCTTCGGAAGGCACTCTAACACTACCAAATACCTCATCGGATCGGGTGAAAGTCTCGCTCACACTCTATGAACAATTAACAAAGGTAACAAAATCAAATCGTAGACGAAGCAATTCCGATAACTTCGTAGTCATTGCCACCCCTAATGCCGAATTGAATCACGTTAAAAATTAGTTTTACTGCTGCATTTAACTACACTTACTCCAATATATATGTAAAAAAGACAAAAAGACAAAAAGACAAAAATCATACTGTTTCCATTAAGATGTTCCTTAGAGTCACACTCGATCTTGTTCTTTCCACTTTTCACTCGCTCTCATCTGGGGCTGTGATGGCTAACAGAAGCTTTCTCGCTAGCTTTCGAATTGAACATTTTTCTTGAATGGTTTTCTTCTGCTTTTCCAGCCACCTGTCGATGTAGTTCTGGTCTGTTCCCTCGGTTGGAATGGCTAGGAAATCGGTTCTGACGGCTGGTATAACCGCGTAGAAGCCTTGGCAAAGGGACTTCATATCTCTTGCTTGTGCCTTCATAACTTTGAAGTACAGTTTCTTGCTGTCGCTCTTGCTTTTCTCAGCTTTTCCTTCAAACTTTTTTAACTCCTGTTCCATGACGGCGAAGAAAGCAGCTGCGTTGGAGATACCATCTATAAAGCCCCTCAACGCAGGGATGAGGGTGTTGCTGACTGTGATTGCGGCGGCTTCTTGAATTTTTGCCTCGCAGCCTTTAGCAACAGCATCAGCCAGATCTGATTCAGCAGCAGCAGACAACATAGGGCTCGCGATAAGGTTTACAAACGGTATAAAGGCAAGTCCAATCGCCCAGGAGCGTTTTGTACCTGCCATGTCTTCTAGCTCTTTCTTCTTCCTTTCAAATTCCTCTTGAAGGTGTTTCAATTCTTCTATAATTACACGGGCCTGGTCTTCTCTCTCTTTAAGTGGAACCAAGATATCTTCGTGCATCTGCAGTAGTGTTTGGCACAGTTCCCTGTAGCCAGTGGTCTCTTCAAGGATATCAGACAGCATCTCACGCCATTCTTCGTACTCCAGGGCTCCATAATACTCAAAGTAATCGCTGATGGATGAAACCAGTTTAGTCGAAAGCGGCAGAACACCTTTAAGGTATACCATTGCGTCGTTTCTCGTGTTGTCTCGGAGTTCCCTAAACTTTCTAGCGCCTTCGGAACTGGTGCCAAGAGCCCCATCTGAGTAAAGGGATCTCATGCAAAGAGAAAAAATTCGCATGTTGACTGGCATGTTCTGTAATTGTTCTCGAAGGCCTTTAACGGAGTTCTCTGTTTGCTTTTCGATGTCACCCATCGTTCTGCTGAAAAGAAGCAATGGATAATCAAAAGGTTTTCTTCTTTTTCAACCCATGGATGGTTTCTATAATCGCTGTGTTTGTTCATTTTAACAAAAGATCAATTGCTTTAAACAATCATAGAATAAGGCTGTAAAAATGATGGAAAAAGGGGTATTATGTCTCTATGCCGCGGTTTTCGTCACAGGGGACTGAGATTAGTTGTTCCATAATAGATGACACGAAAGCTGCTGTTTTGTTCATCAGTTATTGATGCATATGGCATCATTTAAAGATGGCTAAGGAAACATAGGAAAGATTGCAAAAAAATTTACTTTCATGATAAGGATCAAACAAGAGAAGTTGTTGGAGTTTGCATGTATTGGTTTCAGATGTCTGCTACACTTATGTAATCGTCATGTGCCTAGCCTCCTGTAAGCTCAAGTTAAAAGGGCTCTGGAAAACGCATCCTTTTTTCCTCGCTTAATTTCATTCCCAGCCGCATAACATAATATCCTTCAAGCTACTATCAAAATATAAAGACTCTCTTCCCTCCCTTACAGAGATCAGTTCAACAAAGGAAAAGTGACCATTAGTTTCTCAAAATATTTTAGTTTTGATCACAGGTTTTCTCAGCACGAAAAGGTAAGATACTCCGAGGAAAATCTCATCCGGGCAGGTTAATTACTTGACAAACGATTCAATTAGTAGTGCTATTAAAGTTAACTTTCGTTTTGCCATGATTTTTTTTTAAAAAAATCTCGAGTTTGATCACAGCTTTTCTTTCCCGATGCGTTTTATGGAAGCGTTTATCGAAATTCTGCTGTAGACACGCCAATAAAATAAAAGAAGCAATCGGCCCTTCACAAATCGTAGACTTCCAACCGACTTGAATTTAAGAATTTTTCACACCAATCTAAATAACGGCAAGTATACTAGAATAAAGCGAAAAAAGACAGCATGTTACCTTTAACTATAGTAGTGGGTCTGTAGGATTCGTTTTCTCGGCACGTTTTTTCAAAAGTTGCTTTATGTTTCTAATCTTAGAGTTCTTTGATTTGGAAGCTGACTCAACGCTTCAGCTTTAATCATTGGTAGAAGAAAAGACTGAGCAAGGAACAAGTAAGTAAGGTCTTACTCAACTGTAATTAGTCCTCATAATCGTGGTTCAAACCCTCTTGCATTGCTTCCAATTGCAAAAACTACTTATAAGAACTTTACACGGGTGGGGATCCATAGATTATCGGCTAACGCGTGTAACGGAACGACGTTCGATTCCAGGTTTACGTAAAATATGGTAACAGGTCCATCTATATTCACTAAAACTGATGCCACCTACAATCCCGCATGAATGAATCAGGATGACTGGTTTCGTTTTCTAGAATAAACCAAGCTCACTAGTGACGGAAACAGAAGCCAAAGTGCACATAGAAAATGCCAGAAAAATAACGAGGAAGAATATCATAAGGTTGAACCAATTTCGTAAAACCGTTCGAAAGTCAAATCATTTTTTCCTTTGGTTTTTTTAATGATTTTTTAAGAAAATTAATAGGAATTCTATCGTGCCGATGCCTCCCGTGGTTAAGCTAAAGGCAAATCCTACTATAAAAGTGACAAGAAACAAACCTGAGACAATCCACTCGTAAATGAAATGACTTTTCAGAGGCGAGGGGAAAAACAAAAGTATTTCTCTGTGGTAAATTTCAGTTCGTAGCATTGAGCTGAACTGCTTCGCATATCCTCTTTGATCAGGTAACTATTGGGCGCCTCACTTGATGTCTAATTTTGGTGTCGATGCCCGCCAATGATGGCCGCGGCGCATTTTCTTACGAAGGTTGTTTCATATAACTTTCTGACTCATTTATTTCTTCCAGCAAGTTCAATTCCTTGAAAACGGATGCAATGAATAGCAGGGTTATCGAATGGCCTTTACCAGCATTTGCGAGCATGCGAGCAGTGTGTTTATTCCTGCGAGCACGAGCATTTGTCAAATTTTTCTTGCGAGCAGCGAGCTCTTTAGAAAATACAGATGACGAGCAGCGAGCACTTTGAGTACTTCGTAAATTTCCCGTTAGCCGGAATCTGTCTTTTATTGATACGATACCTTGTTTTGCGCCAAGAAATAGCGAATAATCTGGCTGACACCTCCAAAACAGAATAACAGGTGCAAAGCCAGCATCTTCCAGCCAATTGTGCCCTGCTTGATGCCAAATTACGTCACGTAGCTTCACGTGAGTCAGCAGGGTGGACGCTCAAGAACTTC